GTACGTTTTTTTTGTTTGTTTGTTTGTTGGCTGGCTGGCTAGCTGGTTGGTTGGTTGGTTGGTTGGTTGGTTGGTTGGTTGGTTGGTTGGTTGGTTGGTTGGTTGGTTGGTTGGAAGGTTGGTTAGTTAGTTAGTTAGTTGGTTGGTTAGTTAGTTGGTTAGTTGGTTGGTTGGTTAGTTGGATGGTTAGTTAGTTGATTGGTTTGTCAGTTAGTGGGTTGGTTGTCTGAATAGTTGTTTGAGTTAGTTTGTTAGTTGGTTGGATGGTTTGTTGTCTGATAGACTGACAAATTAGTTTATTTTTTCCTACAAAACAATTCAACAATTCAAAATATTAAAAATTTATACAACAAAAACTTTTCCGCAGACGACAATTGTCAGAATACATAGATATTGAAGAGAAAAAAATGTAGACCATAGATAAATAAAATACCATAGATACAAATGTAAACAAATACAAATGAGAAGAAAATGTAACCAACGCGTGCCTAAATAAAAAAGCTGTAGGCACTGTAAAGTAAAAATGTAAAGAAAACATTACATGGCCTAAAACAAGAAAACACAAAAAGGTAAACCTTGATGTAAACATAGATACATAAGTGTAAACAAAGATACAAAAAACAGTAAACATAGATATATAAGTGCAGTCTAGAGGCAGAGTTTGTACCAATAATTGTTATCGTAACAAGAAACACTGTTTATTTTGAAAACATTGGTAAGTTACAGCGTTTGTATGTTCGTTTGTGTGTGTTTGTATGTGTGCATATGTGATTGTGTATGAGTGTGTGCATGTGTGTGTGATTGTGTATGAGTGTGTGTGTGATTGTGTATGAGTGTGTTTGTGTGTGTATGTGTGTGTTTTTGTGGTTATGTTTGTATGTGTGTATGGGTACTCCTAAGTTGTATACCAGTTTCGTTTAAAGTTAACAACATCAGTCGGCGAAATCATCACCATTGTTATTATCCTTGTAAAAAAAAAACCAACAACATCATTATCATCACAAACATCATCAGCATCATCATCACCATGAAGAGGAACAACATCACCATTATCATTAGCACAAGCCCCAACATTATCCCACAATCTTAAACAACTACATCATTATCATATTAATAATATGACGTCATCATCATCATCATAATACACAACGTCATCATCATTATCCTCGTCACCATCATCATCGTCATCATCATCGTAAACAACACAACATCAACAACAACAACAACATCAACAACAACAACGCATTAACCTAATAACATAACGACATAAACACAGAAAAAAAACATAAATACGTCATTTCCGGAAGTTGTGACGTCAGAGAACAAAGACAAGACAGCGAATGAAGATGGATGACCTGAACGGTGAGCGATAATAACATAACGATTGTTGTCAAGATGTTTTTAATTTTTTTTCTATTCTAGCCCCATAGATATATAAATAAACTTGACGTATTATCGGCCCACTGCTCATGATGATGATAACGATGTTGATATTGATGACGAGGACGATAATGATGATGATGATGAATTTATGTTATTAATTTCATAGAAAAAAATTAGAAAATAAGCCCCTAAAAAGCAGCAGAAAGTATTGAATGAATGAATGAATAAATGAATGAATAAATGAGTAAGTGGATGAGTGAGTGAGTGAGTGAGTGAGTGAGTGAGTGAGTGAGTGAGTGAGTGGATGAGTGAGTGAGTGAGTGAATGAATGAATAAATGAGTAAGTGGATGAGTGAGTGAGTGAGTGAGTGAGTGAGTGAGTGAGTGAGTGGATGAGTGAGTGAGTGAGTGAATGAATGAATAAATGAGTAAGTGGATGAGTGAGTGAGTGAGTGAGTGAGTGAGTGAGTGAATGAATGAATAAATGAGTAAGTGGATGAGTGAGTGAGTGAGTGAGTGAGTGAGTGAGTGAGTGAGTGAGTGAGTGAGTGAGTGAGTGAGTGAGTGAGTGAGTGGATGAGTGAGTGAGTGAGTGAATGAATGAATAAATGAATGAATGAATGAGTGAATGAATGAATGAATGAATGAATGAATGAATGAATGATTGAATGAATGAATGAATGAATGAATGAATGAATGAATGAATGAATGAATGAATGAATGAATGAATGAATGAATGAATGAATGAATGAATGAATGAATGAATGAATGAATGAATGAATGAATGAATGAATGAACCACCAACACAAGAACATAGCTTAAAAGTAAAAGAAGGAAGAAGAAACAAAAAAGAAAGAAAAATGGAGAGAAAGAGAGACCGAGAGATAAAGAGAAAGAGAGAGAGTGGAGAGAGAGGGAGGGAGAGAGGATAATGGACGTATGTTAGGGACTTGATTGATGTCTAATTCAAGCAATATCTCCAATTGATTGATTACTTTTTCTGGTTTAGAAGAAGATGGAGAGAGAGAGAGAGAAAAAAAAAAGAGAGAGAGAGAGAGTAAGTGACAGAGAGAGAGAGAGGGAGAAAGAGAGAATGAGTGAAAGAGAAAGAGAGGAA